CTCGTTCCCCTTTTTAAAAATGGGGATTATGCTGCCCTTTTTCCAGTCTGCAGGAGCTTCACCAGACTGCCAGGACTTCTCAAATATTATAGATAAAGGCTTCACAACTTCATTCGCCAGTTCCCTCAGGACTCACAGATGCATCCAATAGGTCCCATGGACTTGTCACCTTCAGATTCCTTTGGTGGTCAAAAATGAGTCTTCATCATATTTAAATCATTATACGATTCATCATATTTAAATCATGAGACTTCCTTTAAAACAATTTTACAATCATTTAAAATGACTCTTCATCATAAGTCTATTTAAAATGAGTCTTCACCTTTTTCTTCTAGGGCAGCAGAATTTCTCTCAAGAGAAACTGTCCTCACTACTAATTATTTTGTTCATTATTTCTTGTCTAAATTTTGACAAAATTAACTTTCAGCTTTATTTCACAGATACATATCTCTTTAATGACAGAAAGCTGTTTCCTGTGCAGGCTATACAAACACTTCTTAACTATTTTTTATCATAAAATACGTTTGATTTGAAGACAGATTTTCTAGACACTAAATCATTCACCTTGCCCTTTCACCTTTGTTAGTTCTGTTCGATATTTTTATCAATGATCTGGATGAAGAAGTTGAATGCACCATTAGCAAGTTTTCTGATGACACCAAACGGGGAGGTGCTGTAGACTCCCTTGAGGGATGAGAGGTCTTGTAGAGGGATCTGGTTAGACTGGAGCATTGGATAATCATCAATGGCATGAAACTGAACAAGAACAAATGCTGGATTCTGCACATGGGATGGAGTAACACCACACACAAGTACAAACTGGGAGAGGAGTGGTTGGAGAGCAGCCCTGCAGAACAGGATCTGGAGGTGCTGGTCCACAGCTGGCTCAGTGGGAGTCAGCAGTGTGTCCCTGCAGCCCAGAGGACAAACTGCATCCTGGGGGGCATCAAACACAGCACAATCATCCAGTCAAGAGTGGCGATGGTCCCGCTGTGTTTAGCATTGATGTAACTTCACCTTGAGTACCATGTGCATTTGGGCCCTACAGTTTAAGAAGGATGTGAAGGTCCTCAACTGCATCCAGAGGATGGCAACAAAGTTGGTACAGGACTGGAAGGCACGTCCTGTGAGGAGTGGCTGAGGACTTTTGGTTTGTCTAGCTTGGAAAAACGGAGTCTGAGGGATGACCTCATTGCTCTTTACAGCTTCCTGAGGAGGGGACGTGGAGAGGGAGGTGCTGAGCTCTTCTCCTATCACTGGATAGGACATGAGGGAATGGCTCAAAGCTGCACCCAGCAAGGTTTAGACTGGATGTTAGGACGCATTTCTTTACCAAGAGGGTGGTCAAACACTGGAACAGGCTTCCTGGAGAGGTGGTGGGTGCTCCAAGTCTGTCAATGTTTGAGAGACATTTGGAGAACGGCCTGAACAATATGCTTTAACTTTTGTCCTGCCCTGAATTGGACAGACAGTTGGGCTAGATGATCATTGTAGTCCTTTCCAACTGAAATATTCTTTTATTCTATTATTTTATTCCAAGATTTTGAGCTTTCAAGATGATCTATGTGACAGAGAGTACCATGTGTACAGGGAGTAATAGCTACCCAAGTAAAAAGTAGTTTATGTGAAGGATGTGTTCCTTCAAGCTTTTAAGTTCAGGTTCTAGAAAATCTGAACACAATTTCACCTCTATTCAAAACAGCATTTAAGCACATACACAGATTAATTACATAGGTAATGCAATGGGTTTTACTATGATATTTTGTGGAAAGAATATGGAAATAATTTTAACATTTAAAATTATATTCTGCATAAACACAAAAGGAAGACTAATACCCTTGCATTTTTTAGCAATAAGCAGTGAGAGATTCCAGGAACAACTAGATACCTATACATCTGAAATGCTAAATGACAACAAGAATTTCACACTCATTTATTTGAATATGTGATCAGTCATATATTTCTCCTACTCTTCTCTTAACAAGACAAAAAATATTATTTATTAAAATGTTCTGAAATGTACACTATCACTCCCACTGCAACTCCAACTAAACCATCTTAAATGTTATGCTACTGGTAGGAAAGATAATCAGTTTGTACAGTGACATAAACATAGGCAGACACTAAATAAAAGCATGATAACTCTAATGATTGTGGACTTCTTCAATTTACTTTGCTTGCCAACTAAAATACTGCCTTACACTCTCACACAGCTGTTAATGATTAAGGGTATTTTCCTGGGGTTAAAAAAATCAACAGTTTGATCCCAGTACATACATCTGGAATCCTACAATGTTCAGTCTTTATAGAATCTACTGATTTGAATGTCATTAACTGTTCTTGCTATGTCTTAGCATTTATTAACATGTTACTAGATAAACAGATTACACATAACAGTCTCAGATGTGTACAGCATAGACATACTAAATACCTATTGAAACCCACTATGAAAAAAACCTGCCTCCCTCTTAGGAAGAAGAAACAAACAGTCCTTTTCCATGATTCAACTAATTAACTAATGGTTCAACTCAACACAAAGTATTTATAGTAAGCTGTTCTACAAAGGTCAGGACATAAAGAAAACAATCTGCAGAAGTTTAAGCCCTGAGGTTTTGTGATTAATCTGTCTGTCCTACAATTTATTTTCTTTATCTGTTTGCATCAGCAAACTATCCTCCACCACCAGCAAAGCAAGCAACCTTAGGTGGTATCTTAAAATTCAATACACTGTTGCATCATGTTCAAAAAAGACACCTCCCGTCTATCTCCACAGGCACCTCCCATTCACAATACCTGTTATCCATTTCCGAATGTTTGCCATTTTAGGCTTTAAAGGAAGTGAAATTCTAAAGGAGCTTTTATCATATGCTCTGTGATAAAGGAATTACTAATTCACCATATGTGTACAAGAAAGATTAATTTGGTACAGCCAGCTAAGTCCTGGATACTTGTGACACTTTTGCTTACCTAAATAAGGTGTGTACACATCACAAACTAACCTGAAACTACAGGATAAATCCAGGCGGGACTTTTGAAAATGTGATGCTTTCTCTCTTCTAGGATGCTACAAACATGCATTATTTCTCAGGACATAGAATTCATCTATGTTGTACTGCCTTCTGAAACTTATGCCAAAGGGTTGTGTTTGGCAGACAAGCTTGCCCTGGGAAAACACTTCAGTCTAGCCTTTACAGCTGGAAGAATTGCATTTGGAAGATTTGCATTCCTCACAACAGACAAAGCTGTAGCAACACCTGTAAATAGATTCTATGAAATTTTGCTCAAGAGAATGAAACAGTGCTATGAAGATAGAAAGATACATATTAAAGTTTCTTGGAATGAAAGAAATGCAAATATGCAGAAGGAGAACACAAAAAGATGTAAAATAACGGTGGTATTTTACATATGCTGACATTAAAAGAACGCTGATAAATCTTAAAAACTTGGAAAAAAGCTTTTTTTTGCCCTAAAATTGATAAATTGTAAACATAACATCCAAGTTTAATATACATAATAGACACTGGTTAAAATAGCTGCTGCAAACGCACACTTCCAGTAGTCTGCATGTACCTAAGGCGTGTATACTGGCTAATGAATATATTAAGTTCTCCAGTGGTTATAAACAATATATGGAGTCAACATGGGGAAAAGCACACCTAACAGCCCTAGGCTGGAAAAATACAAAATGTTTGGAGTTTAGGTGGGATTACTTTCTCCTTCCCAAATGAAACATTGCTACCCATGTTTATCTTCCTTTTAAGTTCTCAAACACGTTCAAACTGACCAATTCACCATCTCTTCCCTGGATCATCCAGTTATTCATGTATCTCATATCTATTATATATAACTTCAAATAGATGCTAAACTTTTTTTCTTTGTGATAAATTTCCCCATATTTAGTACAAACACATAAAAGAAAAAAAAATCCCTTGTCAAACTGATTATAAGGACTTCTATAGCATATACATTCCACCTAACACTGAAAAACATACGGAAACACATTGAAGTTACTCACGTCAGAAAACCAGAATTGAGATACTAAAAGGAAAGCTTAGTTCAGATTATTATTAAAACCAAATTTGAAAACATTTATGGCAAGAAAGCCTCAGAGAGAAGTAGAATGGCCATTTTAGAACAAATGTACATTTAATCAGAAACAAAAAACTCCAGTCCTTTAGAAAAGTGATGCCTCCATGCCATTGATAATCAGACTGTTATGAGAACATCAGTGGCAAGTCACCTCGCATCTGGCTTATGCATTTTCAAATAAAAGGAATTAACAGAAATTATTCAAAGATACCTATTTTAAATATGTTATGATAAAAAACCATTTTGTTTCTTACAATACTTTTAATCAGTAACTGGAATGCTTACATTGAAATAAACTGAGTTTCCAACAACACTACATCTTGATTTTTAATACACAAATACCAGAATAAATGTTCAGTTGTCAAAACTGAAAAAAACCTGTGAGGTGCTACAGTGCTTTTATATGCAGAAAACACAACAAAAGCCAGTGACTGAAAGCTGAAGCCAGACTGCATCAGAAGAGAAACAAGGAGAAAAAGCAGATGAGGTCAGAATGCAGACAGGGTAGGTGTGGCTGACTTAGTAGTGTTGTTCTCTCTTTCCCCCACATTCCTTGTCTTGTGAAAAGGCCACAGTCTCAAGTCAAGACATTACAGTGGAGCAGCAAGGGGGGCAGAGAAAGATCTAAGTTATTTTGGCCACTGCTAGGCTGAAACCTCTGGCAGAGAGAGGGAGAAGCCATGACACTCCAAGGCTTTGAAGGAGAAACTAAAGCAGGAGGAAAAGTCTTGGAGACAGAGGTTTACAAAGGCACAAGATATATAAATCCTGTACACTTCCCACCTCTCCAGTTAATTCATACCTCATAGTTTTTTTAGCAGTAGCAGTGATTAACCAGTTTTATGACTTACTTGAATGAAGTTAAGAAAAGATTATTCTTGTATCTGGAAACGGATGCTCTTTTCACACAAGCTGCGAATGTACTCAGTTGAAGTCTTAAGTACATGTCTTAACAGTATAATAGGTCAGACCAAATGATCTAATAATCCTTTGCAGCATAAAAATCTGTGCATCTTGGATTTGGTCAGACATGTAAGATGGCCCCAGCTAAATAAAAATTACCAGAAAAGTTGAGGAATAGAGGAGAAAAAAGATCCTCTACCAAGAAAGACATTAATAAATAAAATCTCCTCTCAAACTATTTTGCAAATGATAACCCCCTCCACCCTTAATGGACCATTTAAACATTTGTTACTTTGTTCTTAAAGTATTTCCACTAAAACTGTATTATCAGGATATGATATTTACACTGGGCCTTCTTACTTCTTGTTGTTGTTGTTCTCCCTCCATTAATTGCGAGACATTTTGGGCAGGTACAATCCTTCCTTTAAAGTTAAGACTAAATTTTGCACACTGTGCTTACTACCAGAAATAATAATTTGTGGTGATACATAATACCCATATTAATTTTGCTTTTATTTTCGCACACATTTAGATTTGCACTGAAATAGGACAAATTTCTGCAACAGCATGAGTGGAGACCTCCTATGGTTGGTGATGACTGATGAATGCCAACTTTCAGATCAGCCATAAAGCTTGTTATAAAACAAGACTAAAAGATGAGAGCCTCTCAGTGGCTGATAAGGAAAATGCTTTTATTACTAGAAATGATATGATTTTTTTTTAACCTTGTGACATTAGGTAGTATGTTGATTTGATCATTCTATTTTATGACAAGAACAGTCCTTAGACATTTACATATGGGAAAAAAAAAGGAAGGTGTTTTAGATTTCATTATTCACATGGCAGTCCAATTTTCTAATTAGTCTCAAATACAGCTGCCCCTTTAATGATAGCCACAAATAAACCAAACAGATAATTTCATACAGGTTTCAACATGCAAATTCACTTCAAACAGACATCCAGCTAGGGTAAATCACTTCTTGTTCAATGCAATAATAATTTATTCTTGACCAATCCACATAAATCACATGAAAATGGTAATTCTGGAAAGCTGTTTATCTACCTAGTATTTTATATAGAACGTCTTATAATCTGAATGCCTTTCTGTTTTAGTGAAAAAATGCTTTTTTGTAGGTAGAGAAGTAGTTGAACAGACCAGCAAAGGATATAATGGGAAGAAGCAATGAAATCAATGGAAATGAAATGAGTAAAGAAAATGCTAAATGTTCTTTATGCATATTAACATAAAGCACTACTGTATTTATATTGGAATAGTTTTGCTAGTGCTCAATTCTTAAAATTTTGAGTATAAAAACATGCTATTGCTTTCTTGTATGAATGTTTGAGAGAAATTAAAATGAACAAAATGTTACAAACAAAATATTAGCTCTTCATTAAACCTGAAGCAGAACCCAGAATTACATTAAAACATAAGGAAAACAAAGTGAAGGTAGACTTAAAGTAAAAAGCCTCTGAATCTCTTTTATTGAATCCTGTATAAACCAAATAGTATACCTGCTGAAAAGTAGATTATACTTTTAAGTTTCATTTATCTAAGACACAGTTAACACAATGGACTTATTTTATACGTTTGACTTTTAACCTGAAACTGTTTTGTTTGTTGCTTTTAACTTAAGCTAGATGTATTAGAAATAGTTAACATCAATAGTACAATTAATTTGCTTGCTACAGAAGGTAATGATTTGACCCGTGAGGGTAAATAACAATAAACAAAGTTATTGGCTGAAAAGAATAAACAGAACTAGTACATCTACGGCAACAGTAGAGAGAGCTTGTGATAACCATGTGTTAGTAAGTAAATTCTTATTAATTTCTATATCCTCTGTGTCCACATGAAAATTCTCCAAAAAAATTAAAAATCTGGAAATATTTTCTGAGTATTATACTAGCAAACCAGCTAGGACACATGTTCTGTTGATGACTCCAATAGATTCTCTACACAAGAATGAAAAAGTTATGATGGCAAAGATCAAATGAGGATCACAAGTGAAACAAGCTCTACCTATCTAAGGTGCAATCCAAATAAAATATTACATTGCTCTATTTTGCATAGCTTAATTATGTCCTCTAGTAAAATTAAAACAGACTTGGTGCTTTAAAATTGCAGTTTAAGCTGAATCTTTTGTGTTTCGATTGACTCTTGAATATTTTAGCTGAATCATGCACACCAAGAGGCTAAAATTATAAAATCTAAAATCATGTTGTGTCCCACTTCCTTAACAAAAATGTACTTCTAATAAATTCTAATCCCTCATACATACAGAACTATACTATACAAAATAAATAGCACCTTAAAAAACACAATAAACTAGTTTAGTGCTAAAAATGCAATTTAATAATGGTCATTTAATCCACAGTATTTTTTTCTATTCTTAAAAGCAAGTTGGTACAGCAGAATAGGAGTTACTCAGAGTAACTAAACTAGGATGTTTTATTGATACATCAAGCAAAGAAAGGTCTTTTTGAAGGTATGAACCTTAGATTTTGTTAAATTTCGGCAAATTTTACTTACAATTTTGGAAAAAACCCCCCCGATTTTAATTTGCAAAATACAGCATGGACTTTTGATAATCAGATCATTCTACGATATTTAACTTCAAAATAAGTCTACTACTCTTCCCTTGTGTTTACTGGATGCATTTAAGCCTCACTTGATTTCACATTCAGTTAAGCATTTCCATTGAATTAATTCTTTTGTCAGTGAATAAAACAAAACTTACAGCATGATACGCAAAACATACAAATGCATTTGTTCTTATTTGATTAAGGAGAAAATTAGCATGATCTCTAAAGAGACAAAATTTATTTTCAACTGTAGAACAATTTAAAACAACTAAGAAAACATTGTCATTTAAGCATTTAAAAAAACATCAATTTTTCAAATTTCATTCCATCTAGAAGATTTATTCCTTACTTCTTCTTATAGAAAATTATTTGTTTTGCCTGTGCTTGGCAGCCATAAAGTCTGGTGAAAAATTCCACAAAATATCTTCCAAATAAGCAAAATGAGAGAATGTTCAAAGGAAAAACAGTCAAATTAAGGTCTTGATTTTCATTAAATGAATCTTAACGAGGAATGCAGCTTTTTTCAGAAAGTCTATTTTTCTGTTAAAGTCATGTCAAATACAGGCAAATATTAATATACACAATTTTTTATTTTGTAACTCAAATATAAAATTCTCTGTTGCTAGCTGAAAGCTCCCACTATGTTACTGATATTTATACTATTCCTGAATTATGAATCTTAACAAATTTTATTATCAGAAAATAAAACCACACAGTTTTCTGATGAAATATTTTTTACATTTGTACAAAAATTTTGTATTTATCCATACCAACCACGTTAAGAATCAAAATAAAGAGATTTTATCAGATTGTCTAAATTATCCAATGCTATCATAAACATTTATTATAATTCCAAACTGAATAGTATTTTTACTCATTATATTGGTTCCTAGAAATAAATTCCCTGAATTTCATTGCCCTTTTGAGTACTGATGAATCTGTATTATTAATGATGCTTTATCTCCTTCACTGTATTTTTTAACTCTTCCGACTCTGTGTTTCACAATTCTCTTCCCCATTACTTCCAAATCTCTACTTCCAGATCAGAATACCCAGAAGAAGTAGGTGAAAGTATTTGTTAGGGCCATGTAGCAAAGCTAGATTAGGTATAAACCCATGTTCCTAACTGAAATAAGGGCTGATGGAGTAAGCTTTTAAAGGAAGGTTCTATGCTTATGTTAAAATGTCTGCAATATTATCTATCACAGTTGTAACAGAATGCATTTTCCCATAGCATTGTAAAACACTTCCACAATGAGTTCTTAATCTGGAACAGACTTCGGAGACATACCATTGATAAGTGAAAACAAAGCATAAAAAGGTCGTATCTGAGCATTCTGAACAACTGGAAATATTTTAAAATAAGCTACCAAACCTACACTAATAACAAGAAAACAAATCAAATAAATGCAGGGAGGTTATAGATACCTATCTGTAACTTACATTATTTAACATTTACATCTCATGTATACTCAAAAACACTGTGTTTTTCTTATGTTTTCAGAAAAAATACGAAATGTTAAATGAGGCTGTTTTCGTTTCCAACCTGACAAATATTCAGCTCAGATAAACAATTATATGAGCATTCCCAAAGCATTCACTGATACTACTTGAATGCAAAAATTTACCCTATGAAGTTTAAATATTTGCAAGCTGTCAAGGGAAAGGTCTGCCATCATGTTTAAGTTTTCACAGTATTCCTACTCTTGTACCTTACTTCCATGTATGTATTTATTACATATTTTAGCAAAAGTATTATGTATTACTTATTCTGACAAGATAATACTGCTGTACAATCCGTCACAAAACCAGTGTCAATCTGTAAGAACATTTGAGTGACTAAGAAACTAGTCTCAAAGATTTTGCATCAGTCTGAAATACTTACTGTCGCTGGGGAGGCCCGCGTTGTATGAGTCACTGAATGACCAGAATTTTCCATTGAATTGCCAATCAGATAGGTCCCTCCTGAGCTGCTAATGAGTTGTCCTCCTGTGACACCCATCTGAATCCCTCCAGTGCCCACCATGCTATGAGATGAGACCACTGTTGTCACCTGTGCAGAACTTCCTTGAGTATCAAAATAATTGCCCCCAGTGTTTTGGCTGTACATCTGGGTTTCTGTGTAAGGATAAGTTGTTGATCGGCTTCAAGAAAAGAAAACAAAAGGAAATTACTTGTATTGTTCATTTATCTGAGGGAAATGTTATAATTCTAGAAATGTATGTGCAACAGCTATAACCAAATTAAGTAAGATTGGCAAACAACCCCTGCCTCCACAGAGAATAACACTTAATCAAGTCAAAGCACTAAATAACTAATTCAGTGACAATGTTAAACCGTGTATTCAGTAAACCTTCCAGAAGAATTTGTCAGTCTTACCTGAAGAGGAGGAGAGAAGGGAAGTATGACAAAAATTGAGGAGATGGGCACAAAGAGCTCATCCAATATATGGCACAGCAATTTATAAATTTCCATTTGCTTTAACTTTTTTTAATCCGACAATAAATTTTTCTGTTTCAGTTAGATGTTATATATTTTGCATATTGTGCATGTTACAAAATTGCGAACAATTCAGACAAATGTCAGCCAAGAGAGTACAATGTTCAAGAACCCTATGTTATCTATTGTTTTTAGATTCATTAAAGCTCTTGGTTGAAGCTTGAAATTCTGAGTTTACTTGTATTTTGGAAAATGCAGTTATATTTACAGGGTGAATTCAAAATTGGGCACGAATTCATGTTAGGATAAAAACCTGCATTTTAAGAAATAAAACCAAAACCTTGTAAAAAGGTCACAAAGATGAAAGAAGTTAAAGTTATGCAACAGCAACATATTTTTAAAATCACTTTCAGCTAGGAAACATTCATGCCTCATTGACCAGTTTACCCTAACAAACTGTTCAGCTACTAAAATATTCTGCCATGTTTCACATTCTCAATCACTTATCTTGAATCATTACTCTTCATAGGTTAAAATCTGTTTATAGTTTTTGAATGTGCATTTGTTTCCATGCACTAAATTTGATCTTGAAATCAACAGATTTCAAAATTGTTAAGCAAATAGCATTATTTCAAAGTCCAGATTCCTCACTTTGGAAAACTCTATTTGGGAATTCTGTCCTGTTTTCTGACTGCCAAGCTTTGTATCTTGGCAAGTATGAAAACAGAAAGGTCAAAAGGTAAAAACCAGTCAGTTTACCCAACCATTTAAGCGTAACATTCTGTAATATTGCTTGTAATCAACAGGTAACACAGTTTTAAAATTCAAAGTTCTCCATTAACCTGGAGGTGCCTATGCTGAGATGTGCTTAGTCCAAGTAAATACATTTTTAAAGTACTATGATTGAGAGAAAACAGAGAGGTACAGTCTCTGCATAAGTCTCTAATTAGTTTAGTAGAATCAAACAAAACACAAAAACATGCAACATCATGTAACTAAGAGAGTTCAACAAAAAAATCCACATTTTATGCAGTAGGATGGTGATCGCTATCCAGGAAATTGAAGTCAGATCTTTTTTTCCCTTTATCTAGACAGAGATTAGTTTCTTAGCAATATATCAGAAAGGTCATGGCAATTTACTGTTTGTGGTTATGTTTTTTCATTATGAAAATTTGGACAAGATTAATTAGTTAGTAAACAATGGACTCAGAGATAATGATTCCTTCTTCAGCTTCAGAAAATAATTACTTTTAAATAACTGAATAACATACAGCACCTTATTAACAAAGAAAGTCAGAACTTTTCTTGTTTTAACTATGGCCACAACAACTTCGCCCTTCCTCTTCAAAGACTTTCAGAAACTCAAAAAAAAAAAGTTATAAAATTCTAAATGTTTCATAAGCCTCATACTACATTATTTGTTCTCACCCCTCCTTAAGCTACTTAAACATTTTCCTTTTTATTTTGAGTATTTCAAAAGCCTTAAGATCAGCTGCAAAAAACCTGAAGTTAAGCAAGTCTACTGAAAACAAAGCAAAATACTTATTTTAGGGACTAATGCTCAAGTAGACAATCTACTAATATTTCTTTTGGACAGTTAATATCAATTGCATTGCAATAACTTATATTTCTGCTTAGGTACCATGCAGGTCCTGATTAATATGTTTTATCAAGACAAAGTATCATTGTGATACCTCGTGTTACCATCGTGATACAGTTTATCTTGTGATAAACAAGATAATCACTAGCAGAGCCAGTGTTGCATCTGTCTCAGAATCACACAACTTACAGAATGTGAACAGTGCTACACAGCATAGGATAATTTAGGAAAATGTAGTGATGGAAGCTCAGGGGAAATAGCTCATGGAAATGATCGTCAAGAGACTGAAAACTCTAATTTCTCCCAAAAGAGAAAAGAAAAACTTGGTATCAATATCAGGCATTAGTACAGAAGGGTACAAAAGGACAAGGCCACTGTAAATAGTAAAAATAGACATGGTTAGAGGAAAAAGACTGTCCAAAAGATGTGAGGAGAACAAATCTCAACTTGCAGAAGTGGAACTGAAGAGACAGTTATTTGAAGCGACTGTCTCTAGAGAAGATTCAAAATTTCACAAGAAAATTAAATCACAGACTTGGTTGCTGTGGAATAGAGAGAGAAAAGGAAATACTTGTTTGCTTTTGCCTTGTTTAGATTAGATCTGTGTATCACGTGTAGTGTCTAAATAAGGACTGACTGTATCAGAACACCTACATCTGTTTATAACAGTAATCCATATCAATGGATCAAAAGCAGTCATTGGGGTACACCAATGGGTCACACTCCAAGATAAAACATACTCTTCCCTTTCTTCCAACAACCAGCAGGTTCTTCTAGAACATCTGATTATTGGAGATGACTAAGCAAACCTTTAGTAACAGAGATCAACAGGGTAATTAAAAGTGAGATAAAACCATTAATAATAATTGCAACTTAGCAAAGAGCTAGAAAGTGACCATTAGAAAGTTCATTGGAGTTACTAACAAGTTTGAAGTCTAAGAAGTAAGGCTGCAGAATCCTAGTTTCCAGAAGGCTCTGCAAACTAGATAATGTTTATGCATGTGTGTAAGCAAATCACACAAAGTCAGACACTGCATGAATTCAATTTAAATTAAGCAAGCCCAACGGGTGTCCAGTGTTGAGATCCCACACTGGAAATTAATGAGACCAGCCTGAGTTTGATAAGAATTGCAAGATACAATAGCTCAAAACATCACCTATTATGCCTTTTTCTTTACATACATTTTATAATGATTTGCAAAATTTAAGCTAGAAATAAAAAACATGGAGTTGTGGTATAATTTTTTTTTCCAAATAAAACCAGACAGAAACTAATTTCTAAATTCAGTAAGCTACAGCATTAGCACATAAATTAAGTGCAATGCCTTGTGCTATATTACAGACACTAACATAATGTTACTGAGCTTAACTTTTAGAGACACTTCTTGTAGCTTCAAAGACACTGACAATTCAGAGAAAGGAAAGAAATAAAAACAATGGCAGAGAAAGAGTAAATCTTGTCCTCCCTTAGTTATCAGTGTGCACGTGTACACATGGGAAATCATTTATTCCCAGCTGCACCTATGATTCAGTTCTATGCAAATGTCAAGAATCTAATCTATTGACTACTGTAAATCAGTGTTCCTGACATCTCATCATGTCTCAGTAATTTATTGTCTTGGTTTTGGCTGGGATAGAGTTCATTTTCTTCACAGTGCCAAGGCCTCTTCTGCCTCTCACGCCACCCCACCAGCGAGTAGGCTGGGGGTGCACAAGAAGCTGGGAGGGGACACAGCTGGGACAGCTGACCCCAACTGACCAAAGGGATATTCCAGACCATATCATATCATGCTCAGTGTATAAAGCTGGGGGAAGAAGGAGGAAGGGGCAGATATTTGGGGTGATGGCATTTGTCTTCCCAAGTAACCTTCTGCGTGGTGCTTCCCTGGAGATGGCTGAACACGTACCTGTAGATGGGAAGGACTGAACAAATTCCTTGTTTTGCTTTGCTTGCACATGTAACTTTTGTTTTACCTATTAAACTGTCTTTATCTCAACCCATGAGTTTTCTCACTTTTACCATTCTGATTCTTCCCTCCATCCCACCGGTGGGCAGTGAGCAAGAGGCTGTGTGGTACTTAGTTGCTGGCTGGGGTCAAAGCACAGTATTTACATAGGCTGATCATGGCCCCAAATTTTATTTGAGCAAGTAGATGACAAGACAGACTTACTTTTGCCGTATTTATATTTGCCTACAAAAGATGACCTACAGATTTATGTTGGTTTTATTCATGTTAGACATGCCTGCCTTGTTGCAAGATTTTTCCATCACTCTGTTTTAGAAAAACAAACAAACAAACAAACCCCCAAACCCCACAACAACATTTATTTCCTTTTCCAGGAACTGAGAAATGCAGACTGCCTTCAAACAAAAATTCTCAAATCAGGTTAGAAGTTCGGACAATTAACTCAAGTGCAGTTTAACTTGAAATTATACCACAGTAACTTCTGTGTCTTGCAAAATAAGTAATTAACTACCAAATTCTTATCAATAGTTGTAGGCAACAACTTGGAAAATTCAAGTCTTGTGTAAAATGAACATAACTCTTTTTTTACTTAAAGATATATAACTTTTATACTGTAACTTGAAATATCAGCATCCCTTCACAGTGGCTGTAAAAGAACAACATCTAATTCAAACAAGAAAACCACTCAGTGTAAAATTTAACATTTTTCTGTAATTCTAATTCAAACAAAAAAGTAACATCATAATTAATTATTATCTTGCTAATCAATAACCTCAGAATTACTCTTGAGGGTTTTGGTATGTTATGATATTACCTACATAGCTTAGCAGGCAGGCATGTAAGTATTTTTTCACTGTCATTTCTGTAATGCAAGTTAGCCCTCTATGGTACTTAATTAACTAAGGTGTTATTTACTGGGATATAAATATGATAAAGACTAGATGAAAATAAATATTTCAAGATACACTATTATTTATATGTAGAGTAGCTAATGCTCATGATAATGCTATGGTATTGCAATAGGGTAGAAAACCTCCATGCATAAAAGCCAAGAAAATCTTTCACACCAGAGCAATATCCTCAATCTCCTTTCAGATTTTAGTATAATCCTGTGGTCCTATAGCTGACAGCGAGCTTC